GTGTCTTGGTGCTCCTGCATAAAGATATGTACTGTGGATTTCACTCAGAATGGAAGTAGAGCTCTCTATACCTTCCTCCATCCAACACAGACTCTTAGTAAAAGGATCAATTGCTAAGTGGAGTCAGGAGACACCACCCTCCCCTTGCTAGAAGACCTGCACCAAGAAGTGAGTTGTGCATCTTGCCTTAAAGATGGTAAAACAGACTCCACCTTCTTAAGGGAGAACCTTGTTTCATAGCTGCAAACAGTGCATTGAGTAACTTCCTTCCTCCCTCTTCTCTCAGCTCATGTGAGACATACCCTGGGCTCTGTGAGAAGAAGTCTCTGCTAAAGACAGCTGCCATTTTGTGTATGACTGAGGAAAAGGTTATTATTGAGGCCTGGGCCCATGTTTAGTTTCTAGGGGCACTTCCTGGTTCACTTGAAGTATAACACATTACAATAGTGTAATCTGGAGGGGGCAAAAACGTAGTTATGTCTTTAACAAACAGAAATGGAAAAAATTGCAGATGGAAGAAGGCCTTTCTGTCTTCTCTGATAACTGGGAGTCCAACAGGGTATGTCTAGACTACATGCCTCTGCCGACAAAGGCATGTAAAATAGGCTACCCAACATAGTCAATGAAGTGGGGATTTAAATATCCACGGCTTCATTAAAATAAAAATGGCCACCGGGCTGTGCGGGCTCAGCTGATCGTCGGCGCACGGGTCAAGACATGGATCAGTTGACAAGGGAAGCCTTTGTCGACCGCTCCTGTAAATCTTGTTTCATGAGGCATAACAGAGCAGTCGACACAGGTTTCCCCTGTTGACCGATCCGCGTCTTGACTCGCGCGGTGTGCTGACAATCAGCTGAGCCGGCACAGCCCAGCGGCCATTTTTATTTTAATGAAGCCGGGGATATTTAAATCCCCACTTCATTGTCTATGTTGGGTAGCCTATTTTACATGCCTCTGTCAGAAGAGGCTTGTAGTCTAAACACACCCTCAGTAAGTATTGTCTGAACCTTAGAGGGACCCTTACAGTCAATCAAGCAAAGAGAGAGGTGTGGGTTTCTTTAGAACAATACGAACCTTTTTAGAAGACTTCTAACTGTCACCCTTCCTCCCTACCTTTAATATAGCAGGTAAGCTTCAAATTCTCTGGTACCCCTTCCCTAACAGCCAGAGTCTCTGTGGCAAAGAGTACAGGATCCTCTTTCCCCATCTCAAGGAATTTTTACAGTCGGGTGAAGCTCATCAATCTCCTACCCACCACCAGGATTTTTCTCAGAGGAATTCACAGTGATGCTGGATGCCCTTCTGCAAAATCTGAACATACATGTTTTGGATCTTCCCTGATAGAATGTGTACTGTGTGTGCTGATGTCACAGGAATCTCCAAAACAGACAATGTTAGGGGTTTCCTATGCATATTCTTCACTATATGGGATACAGCTATTAGGGAAGCCTCTGAATATGGGATGAGTGCTGGAAGATAGCATCAGGCAAGTGGTTTAAGAGACAGACATAGGCATTTACATCAAGAAAGGTTTGGGAGAAGTTCATTTTTATGGATGGGCCATGTTAGCTCACTGGAAATGGAGTAGGCTACTTTATAATAACCACTGCATCAAAACAAAAAGAAATGAAAGGGTAATGGGAAACAGAAGAGACAGTCCCAGGATATATGTTATAGAGAGCAGGAACCTCAGAGAATATTGGAAAGCTACATATAGAGAAGGTGATTCCACCTCTTTCACACACATTCTACCCCTTCCATCTGTTGAATCCTGTAGCCATAGGCAGGGTTTGTTTTCTCACTAAGGGCCTTCACTGTCTGCAGATATTTGGGGACACAATTTGGCCTCTGGGTGTTAAACCCATAAGACAGGGAAGGCTACTATTTGAACCCTGCTCATTGCCAATTCTATATCATCTTCTGCTGGTTGAGAGTTGTTGGTCTGGTTGCACAGTTGGACAGTGTGGAGGGAATTGGTGTTGGCGTCTGTGTGTGTGCTTGTTCCCCAGGTATAGTAGGGAACCAGGTTTCTGCAATCTTTCTGAAGAAAGCAGAAGCCAAAGATCCTCTGATTTTTTTGAAAGCACAGAAGATTGAACTGCTCATTTGGAAAATGGCTTAAGAAGAACCAAGCTCAGTGTTGTTACAATCCCTCTTTCAGATAGATGCTAAACCAATTGACCAACAAACTGCTTCTCAGTTAAATATATGGCAATGTAACCTTCAGACTGCTTGTGATGGGGAGAACCAGGCCCTGAAGACCTCTGCTGGAGACCTGTGGCCTTCCCACACCCTGCCCCAGAAAAGGACAAAAGAGAGGTATTCCAAGAAGGCTACAGTGGTTGCAGGAGAACCATACAATCAGAGGCCAGGAAGGCCCTATAAAAGGAGCTGCCAGACCACAGGATGTTCAATTTCTTTGGAGACCTCAAGCTTAGCAGAGTGAGGGAGTGCCTGACTGAGAGAGCAGAAGCCCTACAGATAGCTTTGAGGGGAGAGCATGTTGGAAACTGAACTTTGTTGGAATGTGGAGATAAAGCCCAGAGGAAAGAGTTAAAATGCTGCCTCCAGGAGAAAAGGGCGAAGATGCTGCCTTCTGGGAGCACTACTCTCTACCACAATGGAGAGCAGACTGAAGGCATAGACCCAAAGACACTACAGGGGCCATAGAGATAGGCCCCTGTTAAAGGAGTACCCCAGAAGGGGTTTTGTGCTTAATTGCACAGAGGGCGTGTGAGACTGCCAGAAGTCTGAGTTGTCAAATAGGCTTCAAACAGCATTGTGCAGGCACACATAGTTGGCCAGAAGAGGGCACCTGTGAGAGGTGAGTGCTACCCCCTTACACTGCTTAAAATACTTGATGCTTCACCAAAGCATATATTCCAGAATATGGATGAACCTGTAATATCCCTGCCACATACATCCCCTAGAAACTGCTACTTCCAAGATGCACACATGCAGGCACAGATAACATGGGAAATTGTTCCTGATTTTGGTTTAATTTATGCTGGCAGAACTCAGGAGCAACTTCCCTGGAGTCACTAATGTTGGCATAGAACAAAAACCAGTTAAATGATATCAGAATCAGTCCCCAAACTTGCATGTTATTAGGTAATGCTAGGCAGCCCTGTGGATTCAATGGTCACGCTGATCTCCACCTAACTATTCCCATGAATCATTCAGACACAGAATCTCAACAGTTTTGCCATAAACAAGAGACTAAACAACTCATCCCACATGAGCTCTGAAAACCTTCCTCTTCTTGATCCATATGTGAAAGGAAGTTGCCAAATAAACGCTGGTAGAGGACAGAATGTGTGTGTTTCAACCAACTGCTGTCACATTGGTCTCCCCTTTCTTGTTCAAACATCCCAACCTTTTCCAAACCGTGCATATTAGTCATGCAGCTTCCACTGTTAACAATGCAAGACAAGCAGCTAGATCCCCACACGATAAATAAATGTATCTGGCAGAAGGATGTTAGCCTTCTGAAGGGGTGAGAGGCTCCACCTATCTCAGACAGGCTCCACAAGATGGAATGGAGCAGGTTCACTTGGAAGTAGTTAACTCAGAATAACTGGAAGCTAGTTAATTAGTTAAGGAACATCTTTAAGGGTTATGTGGGCTCAAGCAGAAGAGACTTTTGTGAGGAAGCACTTGGGGAAAGAACTCCTGAAGGTAGGTGGCTAGGAAGCTATTCTCAGTGGAGTGTCCCTAGAAAACAGAAGCTCCTAGAGAAAGGAACAGTTTGCAGAAAGAGAGAGACAAAGTTGCTAAGGGGAGGGCTTCTCAGAGGGAGCTAGTGAGGAAGCCCCACTAGGGAAGAAAACAAAGCTCCTAAGTGGGAGAAGCTATGTCTACACTGCAGTAGAACAGTTTCCAAAAAAGTGGACATGTTCTTTCGGCATCCCTGTATTCCTCATTGTATCAGGAATAAGGGATATTCCGAAAGAGGAGGTTTTTCCAAAATTTGGCCCCGTGAAGACAGGCCAAATTTTGGAAAAGCGTCTTTAAAAAAAAAAAAAAAGGAGAAAATTCTCAATTTGCATATCTTTTTCCGATATAACCCTGCAGTTTAGACATAGCCAGAGACTCCAAAAGGAAGGAACTATGAATGCCAACTCTTAGCAAAACCTGGTCTCAGTTGAAGGATTTCATCAGGTAATAGCAGGAGCCCCAAATCAGAGCAATTCCATGCTGTTCTAAGGAAGTGTTATAGTGGTTTGACCAGTGGGGGTTCCTGACTCAGCTGATACTAAAGGTCCTGACCCCAGAAGATGGTTCTGGGTCAAGAAAGCCTCACTGGTAAGGGACCTGGACATAAGTGGGGTTGCTGGACTAAGGTTAACTCGGTCCCTTTCCCCACCAACTAGGGTATGAGGTGGAAGTGTATTTGTATAATATTCACCTTTGAGTTAAATAAGTTAGAATCCTGAAACACCACTGCTCAACATGCTGCCTCACTAGACTTACAGAAAGCTCAGTAGGGGGAAGCTGAGGCAGGGCTGTGATTGTGGTTTTCATAGAATCAGAAGGCCTGGTCTACACTAAGGAGTTATTTCAAAATAACCCACCTTATTTTGAAATAATAAGCAGAGCATCCACACTGCCAAGCTTGTTGTTTTGAAATAACAGGCTGGTGATTTCAAAATCTGTACTCCTGCTTTCCTTGTGTAATAATGCTTATTTTGAAATAGTTATTTCGAAATAGCGTTAGTGTGGATGAACTGTGGCTGCTATTTTGAAATAACTACTCCCCAGAGTAATTTGAAGTAATTACTTCCCAGTGTTTCCTGGAACTCTGTCAAGGTAGCACATCCACAATAACGGAGCCTGCATTGGACTCATTTCGAGGCTTCACTGTAGTGTGGGCACACTAGTTCAACTGTGTAATTTCGGGAGTTATTTTTTCACATTCAGTTATTTTGAAATAACTTCCTACTGTAGATGTGCTTAAAGTGACTTTAAGAGGTCATGCATTCCAGTCCCTTGCACTCAGGGCAAGACTAACTATTATCTAGACCATTCTTGATGGGTGTTGGTCTAACTTGCCCTTAAAAGTCTCCAATGATGAAGATTCCACAACCAGATTGCACTAGACTGCCAGAAGACACTCTGGGGGTGAGTACCCCATTACAGTATCTTATAATCTTTATAAAATTTTAAACAAAAGGTGAAGATCCAGGAAGTGATTTCTCTTTCTTTTTACCTCTTAATGGTTTATTAAGAATGCTTGAAATTCAAAATAAAGCAAATTTTAAAGCTGTTATATTTGCTGATTTATTTCTGGGAAGATTTGACTCTGTACTAGTGACTTTAAATGTCTTTTGGGAACTTGAGCAGAACAGGACTTGTGCATGAATATCAAAAGGAAAATATACTCCATAATGTGAATTGACTATGACATTCAATATTATTGTTGTGCAAAGATTAGTCAAAGCTGAAGTCTTTCTTTAATTCATTTGGTGTTTTGGTGACCTTAGGACCCAAAGACTTCTTCTATAAGTTATTTTTTTTGTTGTTGTGTTGCCTGACCATTGCTGTTAAGTTTCTATGTCAGGTTATTTCTCACCTAGGACCAAACTTTAATGTGTTTTTGTGCAGTGAGCAACTAGTCACGCTTTCTAGTAACACTTAATCAGGTGGGCGTGTGAGCTCTGGCAAATAACAGAGGAAGACAAAGTATTTTCATGTTATTAAAAAGCCCTCTCTAGACAGAAATGGGTAGATTTAAATCTTTATATTCACTACTGACTCACTGGTAAAAGCAGAAGCAAAATCGGGGAACTTACCCCCACAAGCTGCACTTCAGAGCTTGAAAAGTATATAAAGAAGGTCGAAATTATGACTAATGTTGGTATGTCTCAATTTACAGTTTTCAGACTCAGAATAAAAGTAAATACAGACACTATGGCATTAAGAACCTGATTTTCCATGGTCTTCCATAGTCATTTATAGCTATGCAAAGTGGATGTATAATGCTGCCATTCTGACATGGTTATGTTTTTCACCCACTTGCACCAGAATAAGTGACTATATAAGGTGCCAGGAAACTGAGAATCAGGCCCCAAGAGTTTGGATTAATCTGTCTCCCACTGCATTATAACTCAATTCTGCTCCTATATATACCACTGCAAATCTGGAGTGAATTCCATAAAGTCAATGAGCAATCCTGTGGTACCTTAGGCATGTAAAATAGACTACACGACATAGTCAGTGAAGCGGGGATTTAAATATCCCTGGCTTTGTTAAAATAAAAATGGCCGTCGTGCTATGCCGACTCAGGTGATCGTCAGCACAGTGCATGGGTCAAGACGCAGATCGGTCGACAAGAGAAGCCTTTGTCGACCGCTCCCTTAAGCTTAGATAATGAGCTTTTGTGGGTAAAACCTACTTTGTCAGATGAGTTGGAGGGAAACTACAGAATCCAGGGTATATATAACAGAAAAAAGCAGTTACCTGTCAATTGTAGGACTGGTGTTAATAAAGCTAATTAAGTCAGGCTGGATGCGAAATGTGAATATAAAAGGTGGGGGAAATTGCATTTCCATATCAAATTCTATAAATGGGACACAACTGACATGTAACTACTTTTCTGTTGTATATATCCAGGATTCTGTAATTTCTACTCCAACTCATCTGACGAAGTGGATTTTACACACAAAAGCTATATATATATATATATATTTGTTAGTTTCTAAGGGTATGTCTAGACTACAAGTCTCTTTTGAAAGAGACTTTTTCTGAAGGATCTTTCTAAAAAGCCTCTTTCGAAAGAGAGCGTCTAGACTACAAGCAAATGCAGATTTTATTTTTTTTTGTGGAAAAAGCAAGTCACTTTTTTGAAAGAGTCTAGACGCTCTTTTGAAAATGCACAGCTTGCGTTCAATAGCTCCTTTTTTCTAAAGAGTACTTTCGAAAAGGCATTATTCCTTGTAAAATGAGGTTTATCGTGATCAAAAAAACTGCCACATTCTTTCAATTTACTTCATTCTTCCTCATAAAAGCAGGTTTGCCACTGTTGAAAAAACAGCCACATTGTTTTGATTTAATTTTGAAAGAATGCAACAGCAGTCTAGACGCAGGTGAAGTTTTTTCGAAAAAGGGCCACTTTAAAAAAACCCTCTGTAGTCTAGATATAGCCTAAGGTGCCACAGGACTACTTGTTCATTTTTAAAGTTAGACTAACACATCTACCCCTTTAGTCCATAAAGCCTATGTAGTTTCTTAGGCTTTCCTTCATTAAGATGGCAGAGGTAAAACCTCTGTCTTCAAGTAAAAGCTGAGAAAATCCTGACCAAGATGGACATGATTTCTAAGGAGTGCACAGTTACTGCAGATTAAGGTGTAGGAGATTCCCTGTTTACAGATTATGAATTTAGTTAATGTTGAATGGAATAGCATAATAATGCAGTTCTCATGGGAATTAAACATTTTTGTCTCTACAGAAGGATTTTGCTTTAGAAATTATTATGAAGTCAGTTATTTTTCATTCCAGACTAAAAAAGAAGCAAAACTTAAACTGGCTTCTTAAACTAGCCTGCTCTGAAAATGAGGTAATCTCATTCAGCAAATAGAATCTAATTTTAGATGTATTTATTTTGCTTCATGTTGGAACACAGTAAATTGGCTTTATGTTCTGAGTAATGTTATTTTGTATTAATAAATGAATGCTATTATAGTCAGCTAGTAGTTACTCAGCAATAGAGACATTTCTCAGTGTCATTATGTTTGGATTTAGCTTTTGTGACCTTTATAGGCTATCTAACAGAGAGAGAAAGTGAGAGAGACATATCTTATTTTCCCAGACAATATACACAGTAAAGACAATCTGCAGAGAGCTATTGGTTTCATAGCATAAATCTTTTTTGCCTCGGCTAGGTTGGAAATCCTCAGTAATTCATAGGAACAACCTTTAATTTACTATTTTCCCTGGACACCACTGAGGGCTGGTAGGAGGGAAAAGACCTCATTACAGAAAGTATCATTCCTCTACTGGAGAAGAAAGACGGGATGCAGAGGATGCCACGGATTGCTTATCACTATCCAGTTGCTTGTTATCATGAAAACTGAGCTTAAGTCCTTTTATGCATAATTGCCTGAGAAAATGACTAGGAGTTCCTTTAATTTTCTCCTAGGCTGAAAAGAGATTCAGAGGCACTGGTCAGATTCCTTGTCATGTCAGTAAGCTCTGCAAATTTAGTTATCCCCTGACATGAAAGGTGTCTCATCTTGTTCATGTCCTGTGGTCTCTATGTACTCTACAAAATGAATTTTTGGAGGTTGAAAGGTAGTGATGTGACAAAGGTAATTTAATGGACTTTGTCATATGTTTTATACTACTAGCTTTTATTTATTTATCCAAAATAACTGCCCAAGGGTATCTCTACACTACAGCATTATTTTGAAATAGTTATTTCGAAATAGCTTATTTCGAAATAATGTGTCTACACACAAAATGCATTTCAACATAGCTTTTTGCTATTTCAAAATAGCGTGTCCACACTGAATGGACTTTGAATCGCATTTAAGGATGGCTGGAACCAGGTCCGGCAGGGCATCAGGTCAGGAGTTACTTTGTATGGCTGCTGCCTGAGGCTATCCGAGGCCTATGCTTAAAGGGACACCTCCACACCCCTGGACAGAGTCGGTTCTCAGTTTTCCCTGCTTGCTTGCCTACCTCGATGAGGGACAGCAAAGCATTTTGTTTCTGTGTGCTCTGGTTGCTCTCACTTGGGACACCACAGCACTCTGCAACATGGAGCCAGAGCTGCCCCTGGGCACTCTGGTGCTTCTCGTGGAGGTATAGCTGTGAGCCTGGCTACACTTTCTGCAGGCTTCCATCTGGAAGGTCCATCGGGGGGCTGTCAGTATCCAGGAGGCCCTGTGGGAGAGCTTCCACCCTGAGGAGCACTAAGAGCCTCCCTGGTCTGCCCCACTGGGGGCTTGAGCCTTATTCCTCCCTCACGTCCTTCCACTTACCCCTCCATAATCCCCCTTCCTGATGTCAAATAAAATACATGTATTTTCATGAACACAAACTCTCTTTATTTAACAAAACTGGGGAGGGGGGATGAAACTCTGGTGAGACTGGGGAAAGGAGGCAGGAGAGGGGAAGATAGAGGGTGAGAGAGGGGAGGGGAAAACCTGGGAGACGGGAGCTGGAAGGGGATAGCAAGGGGAAGAAGTGGGAGGGGAAGCTCAGGGTTGGGGTCTCACCGGACAAACTTGATTTTCATGCAAACCTACTCCTGGGTTTGCATGTGGCCTTTGGTGGCAAAGAACGTGATTGCAGTGTGGACGTAATTCAAGTTTAGTCCATTTTCTGATAAAACTGTAGTGTACACACACCCTCAGTGTTTCACAATTACTTCCCCTTTACATTTTTTTTCTTCAAGTTACATCCCCCATATTTGCAGAAAATAGGTTTCAATTCAATTAGATTACTAATGACTTTTGCAGATAGTTTGGGACCTCTCTTTGGCATCTCTCATTGATGCCAATGGGAATTATTGGCCCAGCACTCTTCCCAATGCTGTCAATAGGAGCTTTTTGCTGTTTTGAGTTCAGTGGATGCGTGATTGGGCCTTGCACATTCGTATGCAAGCATATTGTCCTTTGTTGGCTATTGGCAGCTTACAAAGGACATATAAGGGTACTTCTTAGTTGAGAGCTAACAGAACCAATTCTGTAAGTCCATGGGTTTTTTTAAGCTCTTCTGCTCAGAGCAAGGTTATGTCCTGGAATTGCAAATGGGTGTATTCGTGGAGAGGTGGTAGCCTTTACATCATTTTAGGGTATGTCTACATAGTAGGGCTAAAATTGAATTAAGTGACACACCTTCATCTACGTTCGTTGCGTAGCTGAAGTTGAAATAGTTTAACTTGGCTTCAGGCACTGTCTACACAGCAGGTAGTCAAAGGAAGAACAGTCTTCCTTTGACTTCCCTTGCTCTTTGTGAAATGAGGGTTAGCATGAGTCAGAGTAAGAAGTTCTCCAGCTCAATATTATTTCAGAATAAAGGCTTGCAGTGTAGACATGCTCTTTGTTATTTCTAAATAACATCACTTATTTGGAAATAATGCTGCTGTGCAGATGTACCCTAAGAGTGAATCCCTGTT